TTTTTTTATTTCTTTGATCTTTGCTACTTTGATATTCGCATCTTCGATTTTAATATTAAATATGATTCCGATTCCACTTCTCTTGTTGTTCCCTGGTCTCGTTGTTGGGGTTTCTGTATTATTTACGATTACTATCTACAAATCTGAATCCATTTGCTCAAATAATACGACGAAAAGTAGATGTTTATCGAAACGAAGATCAATTCAGCCTATTTTCGTAAAGAATATCTTCAAACTTTATTTATCAGCATTACATAGAAACAAGTGCATTTTTAATTCTGAATTTATGCCTCTTTCTTACTTCAATACTATGATTTCCACTTTTTTATTTAAAATAAAAATAAATTTTTTTTTAGCTAACTTAAATATAAAAATCGTGAAAAAAACTTTTTATCTCACAATATTTTTAATGCTTTTATATTATATCATATTCTTTTCTCGTCCTGATATTGCATCCATTGTATTCAAGACATTTTCCAGAAGGGCAAGATTCCATTTCGTTGCATCAACAATGAAAAAAATTCTATTATTACATTTAATGTTCAAATTTAATCCTGTAAAGCACAAAATCAATATTCTCAAAGAAATTGCCAACGATAAATTTAAAGTTGATCTTTCAAAAGAAACAAACGAAAGTTCAAACCCATCTGCATCCGATCAATTTAATACCATTATCGTTAATTCTTTCTGTTCTAATTATAAAATAAGAACAATTAATAAATTATCTTAATCTCTCGTTTTGAAGTTATCAAAATAATAGAAAGTTCACTCTCTATTCATTATAATCAATTTTACAAAGTGCCATCTCCTGAGAATCTTATTATAGGTTTGCATTACCGTGGTTACTCTGCTTCGGATATCGAAATTAAATATTCCAACTATTTATATTCCATATTTCAATTCTTACAAACAACGTCGACCTCCCTCAATTCTGAAGATTATAAAACTCCAAAGGGGAATCATGTATTAAAACAAGATTATTCTTCGGCTATTGAAAATATTAATTCATATTTAATTTATGAATTTCAATCTTTACAAGCTACAAAAACGAATGACGCTGATTGTATCACTTTTAGAATGAATGAAATAAATATGTTGTATGATACAATTGAAAATATCAAATTACAACTCAAAGAACTTCGAGTTTTGGTTGAAGCTTCCGTAAAAGAATCAGAAGATTTGCTAAAAAAATTTGCTCATTCAGAAGAAGATTTAAAAATCCCTACGTGTGGATCATTGTCAATTTAAAGAAGAATGGACCCTTCTAAACAAAAACAGACGTGTAGAAAATGATAAAATTCGTAAAGAATTTGATGATTTAGATAATTTTTATAAATTTGGAGAGCATATTATTATTAATGGAGGTGTACATTGTATTAATGGTGTTCGTGCTTAAATTATTAAGACGTTATTTGTCCCCAAATTAATGACTATGTTTTATGAAGTCAAAACATTTCTCTTTAAAATAATAGAATTTGCGTATTTCAAATTTACTACCACATCTAAATTTAAATACTGAATCACTTATTAATTTTTTTGTGAAATCAAATTGGCTGAATAATTGGCTTAATTGCTTTGTTTAGCTTGAGAGACATGCACTTATCTTCTACTATCTGTCCTTGCGTCAAAGAGCAACTGAATATTATTTGTGGTCTAATGGAAAGTCAAGCAAGCTATCATTTATTCCAGTAATAGGTTTATAACCAAAAACACAATCGATAAGTAATTTTTTTAAATTTTTACTTAATTAATTTATTATTAGTAACGTTCTTTTCTTTAGAATGTAGTTCGCATGAGATTTTGCTATAAATGACTTGCTAAATGGGTCATTTATAGTAAAAGCCCGAATATTTATGGCTTGAGACTGGTTTAGATGACAAAGCTTCGATCGATTTTCCGGTCAATGATGGAAATTCAATGGTCGAGATGACAGGAGCTGATGGCCTTTGAAAAGTTCATGAAATTTTTTCGTTAGTCAGGATTGCTGGGGAAATTTTCTATAGCAATTCTCTCTTGAGTTATTCAAAATTGAGCACTAGTTTCAAGCCATTATTTAGCCAATTTTTATTAATTTATTTATTTATTACTCGAATTAAATCATTCATTTTTTATTTGAAAGAAATTTTCTTATTATTTATTGCACAATTCCATTCCAAAAATTTTTAATTAAATTATGTATTAATTTTTATAAAAAAAAAAGATTAAATAAAATTACAGATTCCATTTTCTGGCGAAATACTGCTTCATAAATCTGTTTTTTGGGTAAAATTTATTATTAAAAACTTGCGTTATAATTATCAACTAACAATGAACATGGCCGGAATAGTCAACGGTTACATGCTTCAATGCTAGAGTATATCCTATTCACCAACTTCCCAGACGCACGCTTTCTAGTATTTTAATACAGAAAGGTCCTCTCTAATACAGACAGGGCCAGTACTACAGGAATATCGATAACTAATAGAGGAGAACGTTCAACCAAATGGTTGGCCCGATGCGCTTTCAATTCTCTATCAGATTTCATTGCATCGATGTGGCAGCGTAACTTTAGATATACTATAACTCGACAAGTAATCAATGCGAAAACTCACCCTGTATAGTTTTAATATATATCTCACAGGGAAAAGGTTAATCCAGATCCATTTCAACTGATTTTTGAGAGGAGAAAAGAATATTTGTTTTTTTTTCGGTTTAAATAGGGAATATCTTCGTCCTCCTTTTATTTTGGGATGATACAGAAACGAGATGTACGAACCAAAGAGTTGTTGAAGTAATTAAGAAATTTAGATCGATTTTCACATTCTTTTTTTCGGCATTTTCTTTAAAAAAGAAGTGCATACGTTAATTAAAAAAAAATTCATACAAGGCTAGTGGCCTCTTATGATTTGCTTATGGATATACATTCCAAACAGATAACGAAAACACTTAATAGTGAATTACCGAAAAAATTATTCAAATCTTTGTTACAGTATTATTTGATTACAAAAAATAATTATTCTTATGTTTCACAATAATTGGTGCCGAATTTATTATTTAAAAAATATA